GACCTTCTTTCATGTGACCTTAGGTAAATAAAAAAAAAATAATTAAAGTCAAGTTCAGTCAAAGACTATATATATTACCAAGATGGTTTATTCAACCTGAAAAGTATATTCAGGTTAAAATAAATATTCAAAAACAGCAGGCATGATAGAAATCAACTGTGCTGCTACTCCAGTATGCTACCACTTGAAGAGCTTCTGCATGTATAAACATATAATAGGCTATTTACATGAACATTGCTAAAATCTGGGGTTCAATTTCCTGCAGTGGACACAGCAGATAGCCACATGTAACCTTACTCGAAGACAAACAAATTACTAGACATCATTCCCCAGTAATTATTGATTAGAATGTTTTCCTCATTTTAAATCATGAGTATTACTTTGTTTCTTACCAGTTTTTGCTACATCTGATTTTCCTCTCACACTTTACTTTTCTGCTGTTTGATATACAAGACTGTTTAGTGCAAGTGTTATTACTTAGTTTATTTTGTGACTTAATATCTAATGATTATGTACTTTTCATGACAGCACTGTGGAAGATTGATTGTTTTAAAAGTGTTAGTTGTGACAAATTTTTGTTACGTAATTCTGTATGAGTCATATGTTGTGTTTGCAATTACATTGTTGTCTAGGCTTTACTAATATTGTTGATGTCACGTTACTTGAATCTTCAGTATTTTTCTCGTTACCTTAACTGAGTATTGTTAAATCATCATGTCACATAGTTTATAGAAAGGTCGAGGCTTCGGTGAACAAGATATTTATATATAGGTGACTGGTGAGAAAAAGTGGAAGTGAAAGTAATAGTTCAGTCAGTAAAAAGTGAGTAAATGTGAACTTAGCTGGCGTGCGAGTGATTAACCATAACAGGCGATATTTTAAAGCGAGTTTCACAGTTTAATAGAGATAAGGAGAATAATATGTCTTGTCAAAGGGTGTTCTAAAGTAATTGAACCCATCTATGTGAACTTTGATGAAAAGGAGACAATTATTTAAAGTTTGAGATGTAACTGTGTTAACCCACAGAGTAACATAAGTGAATCTATTGCAGGTTGTATAGTAAGAAACAAAGTAGAGAAAATAGTTTGTCTTGTCTATTGGATTCTAAAGTAATTGAATCAGCCTGAGTTGACTTTTGACGAGAAAAGAAAATTATTTAGAGTTTTAGATATGACTGTGATATCTTATAGTGTAAAGAATTTTGTACATACATTTGACTTGTTTTGAATATATTATTTTAAAACAGGTGGATTGTGTGCTGTTCGTTTATTGTTTGAATTTATTGCCTATAAGTCACAGACACCTACTGTGGAAGAATCCCAGCCCGGCAGTTTATGAAAAGACAACATGATAATTTAATTTGAACACTATAAAATATGTGTTATCAACAGTTACAAGGAATATAACATTAATTGTAGTCTACGCTGTTGTTTTAATGTATATTCAAATAGTATCCTAGCATTACTGGTTTTTCAGACTTGTAAGGAACATAAAAACTTGCTAAATGTAGAGCAGAAAATGTATCAAATATGCTGTAACTCTAGCCACTCTCAGCATGAAGGTCAGGTTACACAATGCTCTAAAAACATATAATTTCAAAAAATATTCAATCTAATATGGAAAAATACTTGATGTGTTTCATCAAACAATTTCAAATACCTGTAAATAAGACCTCTTCCTGTGTAATGCTCAATTATCATGACATTACAAGGATTCATGTTACAACTCACAAACTTCATAAAAACATTTACCATCAACTGTGGCCATTTTTGGAAGAGAGTAAAATAAGAAGAAAATATGCATTGTTATAATAAACATGGAATCAGGACTACTAATATTTTGTTTTTGTGATAGGTCAAACTTAATTCTATTTATGTAAAGCTCACATGATTTTTCCCTCAGTTCAATTGTGATTATTGTCTTTTGCTCTATTTTTTATACATCTGTTGCATTTTGTCTGAGGGCTAAGAGACAAAATGTTTCTGCACTGTTCACACTTTGGTGTGTTTTATTGGTAGTTAGTTTGATAGTTCTTCATAAAATGCTAAATACTTGTGTTAGATGTTGTTTTATTAAAACTGTTTGAGGATTCCATAAATGATATATATAAAATGCCTTTGTAAAACAAGTAAAGTTATCCCTCAACAAAGTTTTGGTCTTTTACCTTGGGGGTGAAACCCTAAAAATAGAACAAAAAACCTGAAAAATATTCTATGGTGGAGTCAGTGTCTCTGCTTCTAAAAAAAAAAAGTTACAGGAAGATAACATCCTAATTTACCCAGTCTAGTATCTGATGACCAGATCATGTGCAAGGTACATCTGTGTGTGCTGAGTGATGGAACAAGTGACAAAGTTTCCCATAGCAAAATTAAGGTGGACATTCATATTATGTGGAAGATCTTGAGGCTTTGTGTATGAAGCCACCCATCTATGACTTCATGATTGGCAGTATACAAGGAAATAGGAATTTGTTTGGAGGAACTTCACAGAAAGAAAACCAATGAAGCATCTGCAGTCATGATAAGAGCTCAGGAAAAGAAAAGCAAGCAAGACATGAAGCCCTTGCAAGTCTCAGAAAGTGACATCCTGAATGTAGGTGTATGGAAATTGAAGGAAGCACAGAAGAAAGACCTTTAACTGCATAAACTTTGAGACAGTGCCAGGGACAAAGTGGAGCACAAAACCAAAAGGATGAGGACCTACAGAAAATAGGATCAGAAGGGAGTGCTGTACCAGATCTATTAAGGCAGTTCTACTGGAGAATTTAAACAGATCATAGTACCAACAGAATATCGGACTCAAGTGATGAAGTTGGCTGATGAGTCAATTGTGCGAGGACACCTTGGAGCAAAAAAAGATGGCAGACAGAATCACCAGAAACTTCCATTGGCTGGGGATCATTGGAGATGTGACCAGATTCTGCAAGTCATGTGAATCTGCCAAATAACAATACCTAGAGGGAAAGTAGCTAAGGTGCCACTGGGTCAAATGCCTCTTATAGAAGACCCATTCAGCAGCGTAGTGGTGGACTTGACTGGACCACTAGCACCTGTTTCTGATACGGGCAACCAGCACATGCTGATAGTAATCGATTATGCGACACGTTATCCAGAAGCCATAGCCTTGACAAAGTTAGAGACAGAGAGAGTAGCAGAAACCCTCCTGGAAGTGTTCTGCAGAGTAGGCTTCCCAGTTTACCTCAGAACTGATGCAAGAGGTGTGTAGACTTATCAGCACAAGGCAACTCTACCACTCTGTACAATACAACCCTAGATATAAGGGAGTTTATGAAAGCGTCAATGGAGCAGGCTGAAAAAGATGTGCCAGGAGAGACCACGTGAGTGGGACAGGTACTTGCAGGCAGTATTATTTGCTTACTGAGAAGTCCCACAAGCAAGTACAGGATTTTAATCCTTTGAGCTGTTGGATGGAAGAACAGTATGAGGTCTGATGCAGATATTGAAGGAACTATGGACAAGGGAAGAAGAGACAGAAGTGAGGAACACATATCAGTATGTTTTAAACTCAGAAACCAACTGGAGGAGACCTGTCAACTTGCTTGAGAGAACTTGTATGCAGCTAAAGGCAGTCAGAAGCACTTCTATGACAAGAAGGCCAAGGATTCACATTTCATGGTCGGACAGAAGGTCTTAGTTTTGCTACCCAGTGACAACAACAAACTCACCATGCAATGGAAAGAACCTTTAGAGAATGGACTATAAAGTGAAAATGACAGGAAGACCAAGATTTACCATGCCAATTTGTTGAAGAGGTACTTCGAGAGGGAAGAAGACATAATGGATGCAACTATTGAGGCACAGATGGATGTTGTAGGTGTGGCGGTCATAGTCACAGAACCAGAAGACAGTGACTTTGTCACAGGAAATGAAGACCTACTAGACGTAATACCACTGTCTGGAGATGAGACATACAAAGATGTCAAGATCAGTGAAGAACTGACTGTCAAGTAGAAGAAAGACCTACAAGAGCTACCATGCCAGTACACAGATGTCTTCGTAGATGGCCTTGGTGAGACAGACGTTGTGCAACACATAATGGAGACTATGACTAGGGATTCTGTCAAGGTGAAGCCCCTCAAATGCCCTATGTTATGAGAAACCAACAAAGGAACTGGAAATGTTTGTGCAGACTATTTTAGGAGACTGAACTGAAAGCAGTCTTTGTATATAGTATAAAAAATATTGTCAGCTGTTTCTTGGAAGAGGGGTTTGTTGTTAGATATACATGACTCTTTCATTTAAATTTAATATGAGAGTTATGATTTACATAGTTATAAAGTGTGATTAAATTTAGTTTTATAGCAGGTTTGGTTATGTAACTGTTTGCAAATTATCTGTTGTATAGTTCAATTGTTGTGAATTGACTAATGTAACTCGAACTTTCTAAATTTTTCTCATTGGTTTAAGTGAGCATTGTTACATCATAACATCTTATAATATGTAGGAAGTTCTAGGCCTCAGTTGGGCAATATATATAGGTGACCCAAGTTAATGTAAGAAAAACTTTAAGTTAGTGAAAATGAAAATAGAAGTAAAAACAATGATAACCAATTGTATAACAACTTTTTGTACATATGTTTGACTTGTTTTGAACATACATTATTTTAAAACAAGTGTATTGTGTTCTGTCTGTTTATTGTTAAAATTTATCATCAACCAGTCACAGATGCCTACTGTAAAGAATCTTGCCTACTCATGTGTAAAAACCTGAAAATCTATTTGCAGAATTTTGGTTTCAAAAGTCAAGCAATTATTGTTAATGAGGTCTTTACTGTGTTCAGTTTGGATTCTACTGTATTTTATAAGAATGATATTGTTGCGTCAGCGAGATCACGTGACTGTTCTCACGCCCTCTGCTTTCTAAAACTATCCTGTACCTTGGCGAATG